CATAACATAGAATTTAAATGTCTACTAGATAAATTCACAACATCCAGAATAGTATAAACAAATATAAACCAACAAGTATACATAGAGTTAGAAGGAAAAATTAACGAGTCGTTTATCGAACAACCATGTGAATTATTGTTTGAAAAAAAAAATAGTCAGTATATTCAATATTCTAGCTAACACAAATCGGATCCACTTTCTTCTACTTCGAACGGTCTCTAACCCTACAAGAACTCAAGGCCAGAAAGGAGGTTTCTTCTACCTCCTAAAATAATAAAATAATTAATAATTTATCAATTACTCATGAAGATTAAACTTTGCAATTTTTAAATAATATGTATTACTTCCATTTTAAATTAAATATAATTTCAGATATTTAATTTTATTTGCAATTTAATTTTATTAATTAGAATACTTATCACAATTTTAAAAAATTAACACTTTTTATTTAAAAAAAAATTATTGTATAGGATATTAATAATGTAAAGAAAAAAAAAAATTAGATGTACATAATATAAATACTCTAGCCATCATAATACTGACATAATATTTATTTTAAAAATGATTGAATACAAATAACATCAAATATTATAGGAATTTTATAAATTATAAAAAGATGTAAAAAGAAAAGATAAAAAATAAAAAATAATATTATTATAGTATTCAATATTCGTTCACGACCTAATGCATGTGAATTAACATTAAAAAAGCTTGAATTTACTTCAAATATCGTATATAGATACAAATCTCTCGCTATATATAAATGTATGTATTTACTTGAAATAAAACTAAAATCCCGCCTAAAAGCTTTAAAATTATTAAACTTGGTAATCATTTTTTAAAATTTTAAAAAAGTCCCATCTCTAGATATCTGATTGCCATTTTTATTTTTTGTAGGAAATGTGTTGTTATTAATAAATGTCCGATTATATGGTATAAAATGGGATATTTTTGGCATGAAATATTAAAAAAATAAATGGTACGAATTTCATTTCGTAGAAGTGTATTTGAAAATTTTGAAAACAAAATAAGCGGTATGAATATTATTTGGTATGGATACGAAAATTGAAGTTTAGATTGATTTGTTATAAAATCAAGGTGATATGACTCTCAAATTTTATTATATTCCCATAATAACTTGTCATAAGATATTGATGATAATTCGACAAATTGATATGTATATATTCCTCTTGAAATTCACAAAGATCTTTGAACAAATGTTAATTAATAAAATTTAAAAGTTGTAATTTAATTCTAGAGAAATAGTTGATAAATTTGAATGATAAGGTAAATGACAACAAATTTAGAAAATTGTGGGATAATATATATATGAAATATATATATATATATATATATATATATATGAAATATATAAGGAAATTTATTGTTTATTTCAAATTCGGGTTCCAAATTTAAAAGTCAAATAAGTAGTTATTCATAATTTACGGGTCAATATTAACTTGAATGTAAATGGAATAGTCAATTATTTATTGTAGCTTGTAAGCTGCGACAACTGCTCCCGTCAGGCTAATAAATTACTCAACTACTTAATATCTTTATTTGGATAGTTTATAACAAAATACTCATTTTAATTAATAAAATATTTTACGTTTTATAATTATACTTATTATTCATAGATTTTTAAATATATAATAACTTTTACTAAAATATTTATTTAAAATGGAATCACATTGTAGTCAAGTTGAATTTTTGGATAAAAAATTTAAAATGACACTTATTTTGACAATAATATATGTTATATCTATTTTGGATTAAATATGTGTAATTAATAAATTGGGTCATTATGCTGTTTAGCAAAATTAAGTGATCTAATTATTGTACACAAATATTGGTTAATGAACTTAATTTAGATTGTGAAATGATTAAATGTGGACAGTCGATAATATTATTATTTGGTGACTTAACAAATAATAATATTAAACTTAAGGGCCTAATTAACAAATAATTTGGGTCAAAATTATTTATGGGTGAAGTCCCTAAAAGCCGTGATAAATACAAGGGGATCTTTTAGAATTCTTCATTAAGTTAAAAGAAGAATAAAACCGTTCCCCACGACTCTTCGTTAGTTTATCAGTTTTTTATCTTCGTACGTCAGAAGAGAAGATTTATCAGGTTCACGGCTTTTTAAAAGAACTCTAAATCCCAAATCTGAAATCCCAATTCAATTTCAGTGCAATCAATCGATATGAATCCATCAGATACACTTCCGTTATTCGATTATGATTCTCGATGATTCTATATGAATATTATTGGGATTAAGCGATTTATTTCGCATAAGGTTAAATTCAAATTCTATCAATATAAAGTAATTTATTATCAGTTATGTGCACTGTATGTGTTGTGTACTAATTTTAAATAGACATAATTTATGAAATTTTACACAATTTAAATATTATATAATATTTATAATAAATTAATATGGGTAAATTGTATTACATATTCATTTCGTATTTCTATTTTGTATATATTATTTAATGAAAAATTTTAATTTATAAATATTAATAAATATCTCTTACTCGTGCATCGCACGAGATTCGTACTAGTATATATAATAAGAATTACTATTTACTATAAATAGTAACAAGGAAAAGTCAACCCATATTAATTACATACTATTTTCAGCTAATTGTTTTATTTTACGTTTTAATTCACTTCCTAAAAAATCGGTTGGCCTTAAATGGTCTATGTTTTTGTGTATCTAATTTACAGGCATGGATAAACATGAAAAAGCTGACTCATTTTTTATTAAAAAAAAAAACGTATTGCCTGGTAAATAAAAAAAAATCGATTGCATCGTAAATCAATTTTTATTTCCGGAGTTAAGAAAGGGTTTATACACGATTATACGCGAATTTAAAATTAAAATTCTACTATTCCTTAATTTTTTGTTGACATAAAATCGAATGAATATTATTAATTAGGAAAAACAGTATTAGAATTTTTTATATAAATAAACTACCTCAAAATTAAATATTATTATATTAATTGCAACAATTTTTAGATTATATATCATATCTTATTTTATATAATTAAATATTAAAAATCGGTTATATTAAAAAATCAGGCATAGTAACAAACTTTATATCTTCTCCTTCTATATTCAAAACTAATTGCAATGAAAATCGGATGCAATATTCAATTGAAAATTTAAATTTCAAAATTCCTTGCAATATTGCCATAGAATCCGGCAGAATAAATAATCGCATATAAAAGATGTAAAATTTTTAAGTTTAAATTTAAATTCAATATCCCTTATTGATTATAAATATTATATATGGGATAAGATCATAACAAAATATATTATCTACACATCTACACATTGTGATTATCTATTAAAACACGTGCATATACACGTGCATATTATCTACACATCTACACATTGTGATTATCATCTCAATATTTATTTTATTTATACTAGGAAAATTTTCTCTCAAAAATTTTATAATGTCTCTATTTAGGCTTATAATATTTTAATACTTTTATATAATATTTTATTATATAATATTCTATCTATATATACATATACATATACATATTAAATTTAAATATATTTAGGCATGTTTTCTTTACAAAAAAAAAAGTTTAGAAAATTTCTTTTATATAAATGTGAAATTTAAATTTTTATACATGTTTTCTTTTGATAATAATATAGAAAACTTTAGATACTTTAACATATGTTAAAATAATATTCTAGGAGTTTTTAATATTTTAAACAATTAAATTTTATATTTTCTTAAACAAGCTAATTTTATATTGTTTATAATAAATTGATATACCTTAAATTATATGACATGTTAACTACACATCATTAATTTATAATTATTATTTAATATTGTTTACCCTCAAATTTAATTTATAATATTTTTTCTCTTGCTCTTTTAAGAGAGGATCAACAATGGTTCCTAATTTTTTTAATTGGGTGATTCGAACTCGAAACGTATTTATAATTATTATTTAATATTATTTGTCCATGCATTGCACGGGATACGCACTAGTGATTAGAACATCTCCAATGCAATTTTTGACATTATAAAAAGTCATCCATATCATCAATTTTTGAAAGATGTGTCTCTATTTTTTTCTCCAATGCATTTTGTCATAAACTCTTTCATGATGAGGTGGATGTCATTTAATGTTGACAATGTTGAGCACACTTTCTAATATCTAACACCATGTTAAACATGATGACTCATCAATTTACTTTATATTTGTTTTAATTTTTTATTTTTTTTATATCAATGAATTATTTAATTGGTCCACCTATACAAATAACTTCTTATCGAATTGATGCATTGGAGATACTAGTTTCATTGAAATTTCTAGTCTTTTAACATTATTCCAATGTGGATTAACATTACAATCACTAATTGATATGTGTTAAAAATAATGGTCTTTCACACTTATAGCATTGGAGATGCTCTTAGATTAATTCACGTGAGAATTACTCAGTGGGCAGTCCAAGTGTAGTAGTGACTTACCTCAAGATAAAGACTTGACCTTTCCACGAAACCGCCAGCCCATCGTATCACTGTCTGAACGCCCACACCCTACAAAATCCTCAAAAGAAAACCCAAAAAGTGAATTGGGGCAAAAAACTACTCCGCAGTCCACACACAGATGAGATGAGAATGTAAGTAGACGAAGGCCTGGTCTCCTCAAGTATGTCGTGCATGCATTTTGTCGCGCACCCATTTCAAATTCTCCCCCTTTTGCATGCACACCTGTTTCTCTCTCTCTCTCTCTCTCTCTCTCTCTCTCTCTCTCTCTATACATGTAGATACACGTCCATAAATCTATAATTGTACAGAGACTCACGCATCGTCTTTATTTGATTTTCTATTTTATTCAATTCAATTTAATTTTAATTTGAATCTGGCATTAGTGGAATCAGCCACCGACCGCCGCCGTTGTTTTTTCTTTCATTATCTTCTTTTTATTTACCCTTTTCTTATTTTTCTAAAAACATTTTAGTTTCGGCCTCAATATAAGATTTGGAGAACTCTGTATCAGCAATTGGGCCCTCGCGTTTTCAGGTTGTACGAGGATGTTCGCATGCGGACGTTGAATTTCACAGATTCGAACAGGGCGAGTGGGCGATTTATTAATCTTTTCCTCAAATGGAATTACTCGAATGATTTCGGTTTTTTGAGATGGAATAGTGCTGTCCTTGTGTGATTTAAAGTCGTGTATTTCATGATTTTTGTTCGATTCATTTGATCTGGGTCAACAGGATTTAGTCGAAGGGTCTTAGGGTTTTGAATTTTGATTGATGGTTTTTGTATTTGGGTTTTTGCTGTTTTCAATTTTTATTTTCTTTTTTTATAGAGTGGTAATTTCAAGAGTTGAATTTGCGAGAAATGGGGATGAAGAATTGCATGAATGAGGTGTGCCGAGCGACGGCATCATCCGATTGGAAGAAAGGTTGGACCTTGAAATCAGGTGGATTAGCTTCACTGTGTTGCAATTGCGGGTAAATTTCTTCAAATTTTTGAAATCCTGGCTTTGTTAGTTTTCTAATTTGAAAGGGTAATTTGGGTATGCGCAATTTGGATTCCTTATATATCTCAACAGTAGAGATGATTTTGGGTTTGTTACAATGATTTGGTTTCCTTGTATAGGTGGCTTAATTGTTTTCTATATTTAGAATAATCCTTTTATTCCCAATGCCCTGCACAAATTTAGGCCTTTTATCCATATTGTTTGTTCCAAGACGTGGCGTTTTGGTGTATTTTGCCGAAAAGTTTGTGTTTTGAAACGGGTTGAAGATGGGTTGATGCATTAGTTAGAGATGTACTACTTGAGATTTACATACATGCTTATCAACAAAATAACATGCTTCAAATTATGATGAGAGAAGTGAAATAATGTTAGTTGTTGTTGTTGTTTCCATTCAATAGCTGATGCAAGAGCGTTTGAGTCGGTTACGTCTTACGTGTTTTTGTGTATTACGTCCGGAAAGAAAATATATGATTATTTTATCAAATTAACTTTCATGCTATACTGTTTTATTCGTTTTCTACTTTTAGCCAGAAGAAATAGGTATGCCTGTATGATTTTGAAGGGCTGCTATAAGTTATGATATATCCATCACTCCCACTATCGTGAACTGATTAAAGTTCAAAAAATTTTGTTGGCATGAATGAAACTGAAGAGTAACACTTATGTAGTATTCTTGTACATTGAGGAATGAGGCCATTTTCACTTCTTCTGGTTGGTGCCTTGAAGTTTGCGTTGCTTTATTTTGCCAAGATTGTTCAAGTTGGTCTAAAGTATCATTAGCACTTTGCATGACAACATGCCATTACACTTATGCGGCTTTTCATTAATCTAAAAATGAAAACTTGATTCAGAATTATTTTTAAAAATTATTTTTTGGTTTTCTGCTCATTTCGTGCTTTGAAATTGGTCAATGTGGATTCCAGATCTGCCTATGAGAATTCTATTTTCTGCGAAACATTCCACTCGGAGGACTCTGGTTGGCGGCCATGCAGAATATGCGGGAAGGTATTATTATTATTATTATTATTTAAACCCATATTTCATCTATCTGAACCTTTCACTTTTGCATGTTAGGTGGTTCACTGTGGATGCATTGCTTCAAGACACCTACATGAGTACATGGATTTCGGTGGTGTTGCTTGCATAAGCTGTGCAAAGCGTTTGGAAATCCATGCCATGCAAACAATACAGGTAGTTGGTCGTTAGAGCTTCAGAGTCGCTACTGTTGAATTTCTAACATGATTGAGGTTTTGTAAATTGATTTATTCTTGTTTTAAACATTAATGGATGATGATGGTGATATGCTAGGAATGAAGATGATGGTTGCATATGCTTCCTTTCTTCCAGGAACTCAAATCATGACATTCCTTAAAATATCCGACTTTTGTTCGAAATTATACATTTTGGCACAATATAATTAGATGCTATTTTGTTATTTTTGATCCATTTTGTCTCTTTCTTTCCTCATAACAAATAAAACAAGGTCATCTCTAAGCTTATTCCTGCCATATGTTCGTTTCATCCAATTAAAACCCAATGCAGTTCTCTTAAATANTTATCTGTATTCTCACTTTCTATTCCCTTGAAATTCGAATGTGCTTCCTACTGTTACATACTCCATTTTTGTTATCCTTTCTCTCGCCATCCTGTATAATAGTTCAGAGGATATTAATTTTGTCAATTTTGAATAATATTCGCTTCTATCTTATTCGTTCTTGATATACTTTGTATACTCGAACCATTTTCAGATCCCTGGCGATGTGGTGCGTAATGGCACATTTACCCCCAAAAGCATTTTCAGTGACCCACAGCCAATGGTGATAGAGAACAGAATAGACGACGACAAATTCAGCACAGAGAGGCTTCTGCAGTTGACCAAGTCCATAGGGGTCAATGACATCACCTCAGCATTCGAGCAGCTTAAACGAGATGAACCACCACCCATGTTAAAAACCCCGGAAATAGGGACAAATTTGGCAAGTCCCTCTCTACAGCCCTTGTCGTCTGTTTTCATCAAACCAGAGAATATGGGACCAAGACAAGGCAGTAAGGACATGTCTGAATCTCTAACTCAGCCTTGTCTGAGTTTCTCCTTGTCAGCAACCCCTCCTATAGGTGGATCGGGCAGTTTAGCACCTTTTCCCGGTGGAATTATTGATGGGAGTGATCAGAACAAGGGTTCTTTGCAAAGGATACGCCATATTCCTGCAAAGCCTCCAAAGCCTAGCCCGACTGCAGGCCCCGAGACGAGTAGAGGGAGCAGTTCGCAGGCGCGGGTCCCGAGGCCACCGGCTGAAGGGCGAGGCCGTAGCCAGCTGCTTCCTCGTTATTGGCCGAGGATCACGGACCAAGAGCTGCAGCAATTATCTGGAGAGTATCCTTAAAATAGTTGTTTGTTGCCAATGGTGTTGATATGTAGTGACTGATGATTTTATATGCCTCTTGGAAAAACTTAAAACTTTCAATCTTTTAACTTTCAAAAAAGTGAATATGGTCGTAGTTTCACGTTTCTGGTCCCAGTTTCTTGTGAAATTATGGGACCAAAATTGAGATTTTAATGTATTTATAAGACAATTTTGCAAGATGTTTATTGTGCAGGGTCACAGTTAAGGTGATTATGTAATCTTGGGGCTATTTTATAAAGTTTGAAGATTAAAGGACCATTCTGCAGTTGCAATTTTTTTCAATCCTTCACAAGTCTCCTGATTGGATTTATTTGTTGCCTTAACTTCTAACCTGTAGTTTGAACTCCACTATAGTGCCATTGTTTGAGAAGATTCTGAGTGCTAGTGATGCGGGCCGAATCGGTCGTCTGGTCCTTCCAAAAGCATGTGCTGAAGTGAGTGATTAGTTTTGGCTTCGAAAAATGTTTTTCAGAAGCATATGAGAAGAAAAAAATAGAACTTTCTCTTTTCTGTATTTGTTAATGAAAAATTTATTTTGTGCAGGCATACTTTCCTACCATAAATCAATCAGAAGGTATACCAATAAAGATTCAGGACATAAAGGGGAAAGAGTGGACATTTCAGTTCAGGTTTTGGCCAAATAACAACAGCAGAATGTATGTTTTGGAGGGTGTAACCCCTTGCATCCATAGTATGCAAGTACAAGCTGGTGATACAGGTATGGAATATTTATTTATTTATTATTATTTAGTACTGTTATTACTATTACTATTATTGTTATTTTTTTTTTTTTTTTTGTGNCTTAAATTGTGGCTTCTAGGACTGTCGTGAATCTTGAATTTTGACAGAGTTCTCATTGATGTTTCATATCTTAAACAGCTTAATTAAAATTGGGTAAAACAGACACGATTCCAAGTTTTGAAATAGTACAAAAATGGGAAACAATAATACGCTACCACTTTTATAGCATATGTTCTGTTACTGTGTGATGAGACTAATACACTTGTTGTATTTCCACATATTTTCTATAGTGATATTTAGTAGGAGAGATCCTGGAGGACAACTTGTCATTGGCTGTCGCAAGGCAGTAGTCAATTTGGATGCCCAGGTCAGTATTTCCTCTTTTTATTCTTTAAAAAAAAAAAAATTACGAAAATTTCTGATGTTTCCTTGGAAATCGAGTAGGAACCTCAAACACCAGCCACTCCAAATGCTGATCCTCCAGTGGACACGTCATCATCGTGTGGCAATGATAATAAGCCAGCAGTATGTTGTTTACTTGCTAATTTACTGCTTTAATACATATTATTCGGATTTTAAATGAGTTGGTGCAATGTGTCAAATTTATGAACAGAATGGAGGCAGAGGATCTGATGATTCTCGGCAGCAGCATATAAGCATGTTGGAGAAGAGGAATGCAAGAAATATTAAGAACAAAAGGCTTCACATGCACAATGATGATGCTGTCGAGCTTAGGATTACTTGGGAAGAAGCACAAGAGTTGTTGCGTCCACCTGCATCTACTGAGCCGACTGTTGTCATGGTTGAGCACTGTGAGATTGAAGAATTTGAAGTAAATAAAATTTCTTGTGCTGATGTTGTTGTTATTATTATTATTATTATTATTATTATTATTATTATTATTATTAATAAGGGCATTTCATTTTGGATTTATATATATTTGGTTTGGTTCTTTGTGTTAACTACAGTTGTTGTTATGTTTAGGAACCTCCAGTTTTTGGGAAGAGGACGATTTTCATATCTCAACCTAATGGGTATGTTTACTTATTTATTCTTGTGGAAGTTATCAGTTATGACTAGGTTTGACTGTAGTTTTTTGTGAGATCCACAGTCCATGAGTGCTATGTGATCTAGATAAAAAATTGCCTCTGAGGCTTCATTTTAATTGCAAGAAATTAGTTTTTATTTGCGAAAAATTCAACCCTGTTGAGTGGGAAATTTGTTAAAATGAAATAAATATCAAGGGATGAGGAATCCCAAAAAACACACCTAATGAAAAAATAAAATAAGAAAGGGTGTTCACTTGCCGTATGTTTTGTTGAGAATTTCTGATATATTTTTGCAGTGATTACTCGAGTACCTGAAATCCAATGCAAGCTGAATATTATATGCTCTCTCTGTCTCTCTGTGTGTGTGTTTGTGTTTCTTATGTCTGAAATACTCTATCATGATATGATTATTTGGTAATTTTATCAGGGAGCAGGCGCAACTGGCTCAATGTGATAGTTGCTCAAAATGGCGCAAACTGCCAGTTCATGCTCTTATTTCTGCAAATTGGGCATGTGCAGAAAATGTCTGGGATATTACCAGGTCAGCAAATTTCAGAAGTGCTTGGCTTAGTGGAGTTAATTATATACAATGGATGTGGTTAAATTCATTACTTAACGGTGCAAGATGGGATCAACTAGGAACTGACAATTTTGGCCCTGTAGAACTTTTTTTGTGCAACCTAACCCCATAAGATATATTGACTTATTGAGTGTGTGCAGTTATGGTCCTAAATGAGTGTATAATATTTCATCAATTCTCGAGCTGCCTGTGTCAAGATATAACCCAAATACCTTTGATCATTGAAGAATTGGGCTTCTCTATAGGACCAAAGTCATCAATCCCTTTATAAAATTATAATTCGACTAAGGAAAAAATTGTCCAGGATAGAAACTTCCCCATTAACAATCATGGGACATTGTGACTAAAGTTGCATTTGAGCCTTACATTATACTAGTTCACATGTGCCAATGTAGAATGAAAGAACTGCGACTAACTGATAAGTTTCCTTGCTTAAGTTAAACGAATCTCTTACGTTTTTGTCCATCTATAACTGTGACATTATCTATTTTTACAACTGGTAGCTAGAATGTTCTTCCCTCACACTAATAGCGAAAGAATAAATAGAAGTTTTAACTTGTATGATGCTGAATTTTATTCCAGGTCTTCGTGTTCTGCTCCAGAAGAGATGACCCTGAGAAATCAAGATTTCTCTAGAACTAACAAGGGTATGAAAAGCACACTTACACATGCATGGTTACATCATTTAGTTTGTGTTTTCTCTTGTTGTGTTGACCATTAATTGAAAACCACATAATTATATAGACACCATTGATTGGCTCGTGGGGGTTCTATGAAATCTTTTGATAATGCACTTTCGTGTCTGGCCGTGCCAATTTACTCATCAGGGTTTGGCAGGTTGTATTTTAGGATCACTCTGCCTTAGAAAATTAAGGTTATTGCACAAAAAATGTCGGGAAATGCTCAGGCTTCTTTCTGCATCAGATGCTCCCAGTTATTTATATAAATTTGTTGTCTTTAAATAGATATGATGACTATTTGTAGTTACACTGAAAAGTCTACAGACTCTGATTGAGTCAAGGGTGTTGTGGTAGAACAAATCTGATACATAACATATTTTTATCGAAATAAATTATAAAGCGGAAAAGAATTTTTATTTGATTGGATCAGTCGGTTAATCTGTGGATCTTGTTAGAGAAGTCATATGGAGCAGGAGAAATAAGTTGGACCTGTATTAGCTGTTTAGGACCCCACCTTAAAGAAGAAATAGTTTTCTTAAATTACGTTTAAAATTAGTCAAGTTCCATTTTTAGCAAGAGCAAGTTGTTCTAATCATAGCCTTTAGTTGTAGACCAAGGTACTATAAACCAAACCTACTCATTGCTTTTATACTCTGCTACTTATAGAAACAGTTACAACTTACAAATCAAACAGATATTTTTCAATCTAAATGGATCACCCAGGCATTTCCTGATTGGATCAGATCATTTTAGTTCCAAGAGTTTATTTAACATGACCAGTGTTAGCTTCTTATCCTGCTTATATCTGGGGTCTGTCATTGCTAAACAATTAAATTCTCTCCTAATTCATATAGTTAGCTACAAAATTGTACCTGAGACGATGTCCCAAAAATAAAAAAATAAAAAAAAAAAATCTTAGGGCGTATTTTGTAATTTTCTGTAACATAATTTTCTTTTTTTCCTTTAACACTTAGGACAAACCTCAGTGTCTGCCTTTTTGTAATAAAACCATAATTTTTGACTATTTTATTCTTATTTATATTTTTCAGATCACAAGAAGCCAAAGAATTCCAACAGCAAAGCTGCACGGGAAGGCGAGCCTTCCGGCCTGGATGCACTTGCTAATGCCGCTGTTTTAGGGGACAACATAGCCGAAGCAGGAGACTACTCGACGGGCCCCACCACACGGCATCCCCGCCACAGGCCCGGCTGCACGTGCATTGTCTGCATTCAGCCCCCGAGCGGCAAGGGCCGCCACGAACCCAGCTGCAAGTGCAACGTTTGCCTAACCGTTAAACGCCGTTTCAAGACCCTCATGCTCCGCAAGAAGAAACGACAGTCCGAACGCGAAGCGGAGCTCGCCCTAGAAAACAATAATNATAATAATAATAATAATAATAATAATAATAATAATAATAATAATAATAATAATAATAATAATAAAGAAGAAGAAGAAAATAATGATAATAAAGAAGAAGAAAAGCCTGCTGGCAAGCAAGGTTTGGAGAGGGAGGGTATTGTGGGCCACACGCTTCGGAACATGAACCAACTGCTAAAGGAGATTGGAAATAGTAATAGTAATGAAGGAAAGAAGCAAGTGGAGGATGTGGGAAAGGCCGGGTTGGACTTGAACTGTGATCCACATCGTGAGGATGAGATTCTGGCAGGGACGTCAGGGATGAGCTTGACGAGTTTGATCAATACAGCTGGTTTTCCATTGGATATGTATTTGGGTCAGAATGGGCTCCCAGGCATGGGCCCGGGCCCGGGCCCAGGCCCGGTTCCAAGCCCTTTGGTCCCTCGAGCGTTGGGTGGTGTTGATGATAATGGTGGTCGTGGAAGTGGATCAGGGTCTGGAGATGGGAAACAAGAGAATAGTCATGTGGACGGGTGATTGNNNNTATTGGTTATCGAATGTTGGTGGTTACTACACTAAACCTTGGATGATAGATTCTTATATGAGTTGCCTAAGATATGTACTGTTTTCCCCACACCTTGGAGTGGAAGGATTTGGTGTGTCTGTTTTATGCAAGGTTACTTGGATGTTTGTTTATATAGTTTTGATCTGAACATGCAAATGCAATGAATAGTGGTTTTGATTATTGAATATTTTTGTTTTTGCTGTATTGTAGTTTATGGTTATATTTTGAGGATATGAACTTCAGAACCCACTGGGTGGTTTGGATGGAGGCAGGTTTCAGATTGTTACAAGCTTAACTTTGTTAACCCAGTAGATGAATGTCATAGGAGGCATGTGTGGTACGAGAGTTACAAGGCTTTTGGGGTTATATAGCTAGAAAAGCTAGGTTGAAGTTTAGACTCATTATTATAATGAAAATTTAAGCGGGTCAATCCATCGTACTTACGCTATGAAGTGTATGTATGTTTACTTTTTTTATGTTGTTTGGAGTATGACATTCAATTTGAAAGTATGTTATCCTATACCTATTTTTATTTTTGTTTGTGTTATTTTTTGGAGTATGACGTTTCAGTATAAAAGTATGTATACTTGTTTAAAAAGTACGATTGTCTAACAAATAGCTTTACATTTGTTAAAAAAAGTATAGTTGTACATCGATTAGTATTATGTTAAAAAAATATGATTGTCTAACAGTTAGTTTTCTTTAACAACAACCATACAAAATTTTAAAATATCAAATTCAAATCGAAAATAATCCATGAGCCCCTTTTCAATATCTGGATAAGAAAGGCCTCAATCAAAAGAAGATTGATAGCTGGCCTGCTTGGGAAAAAAACAGGAAGAAAGAAAATATCTCAGCAAACTTCCGCAGCTCAGAAAAATATCTCACATGTCTGTACGCAATTGAATACCATCTACATGGCTACAAGCTCCCATGTGCTACTCAAGTCAAATACAATTTCAATACAAATACAACCGAGAGATTTGGATGTTTGAAAACGATTAGAACCAAAAAGTGTTAGCATTCAGGTGTGACTCTCACTTTCTATCTCAAAACTCCCTTTGAACATAAATTCTAACGTTAGACGGTCTAATGTATACGTCTACGATCAAATATCATATTTATATCCCGTCATACGTTGTAAACAAAAATGTATGTTTTTCAAAGTATAACGTTTCTAATTTGAGTACAGATATTTATGAAAAAAAGTAAGCCTGTTAGAAAACCAACTGTGCTTGAATTGAATTGCACTCAATTCTTGCAGGACCATTGCACGACGAGATTAATTTCCTTTCTGGGCACCACAAAAACACCAATAAAAAGGGGAGCTACCTCCTTTATTCAAAAATCTCTCTTTCCTTCCTTATCCTCTTACCACAATCCTGTACACCTTTTCCCCACATTTCTATTATATCCTGTTACAAAAACAAAAAACCCTTCCAATAAACCCCTGGCTTTCAAGTTTCAACTCTCTTCTTAAACCCTCTCTTTACACTCAAAAAAACATAAATATGAAGTTAAGGCCAATGGCAGCTACTCATCGTTATCGGGCCCCACGCCTCCTCCTCGACTCCCTCGTCATGGGCCCATCCGCCTCCTCCGGCGTGGGCCCGTCCAACCGGGAAAACTCGAGCTTCGACAGCAACATGGTCATCATCTTGGCTGCCCTACTGTGCGCGCTCGTTTGCGCACTCGCCCTCAACTCTATCGTCCGCTGTGCCCTGCGCTGCAGGGGCAGGTTCGAGCCCGGCACGCCGCCTGAGGGCTCGGTTACGGGCCGGGTCGGAGGACTCGGGAAGGAGGCGCTGAGCCGGATTCCGGTGGCTGCTTACCGGGCGGCGGGCGGGAGGAATGTGGCCGCCGCCGCCGCCACAGACTGCCCGATATGCCTGGCGGAGTTTGCGGAGGGGGAGGATGTTAGAATTCTGCCCGGTTGCAACCACGGTTTTCATGTCGGGTGCGTGGACAGGTGGCTCGTCTTGCACTCGTCGTGCCCCACGTGCCGGGGCCCGCTGGCCACAGCTCAACCACGATAGCGTCACCGATAGAATTCGGGTGGTTTTTTAAGTGTGTTTGAGAAGTGTTAAAGGGTGTATTAAGCAAAGATGGTTTTTTTTTTTTTTTTTTTTNTTCAACTTGATCAAAACAGGTAAATTTTGCTATTATCCTCAAAATCTATGAGGAAAAAATTCGATTTACCGTTGAATCAACACACATACACACATACAGGTTTCTTTTCGGTATAATTGAATTTGCTAAGATCTTTGTGCGTTTATTATTACTACTTGATCTTTAGACTAGGAAAGAATCTAATATAAGCCCATATGAATTTTCAAAGGGTTTGGTCAAGCCTATACTGTAGCCACATATGGCGATATTATGAAGTGGTGAGCTATGACGTGGACCACATGACTTCTACTTTGTGTTCCTTGTACTGAAAAATATCTACTTGAGATATCAGAAGATGATTGCTTGCAGTGTACTTGCATGGTTGTGATAAGAGTTCTTGCATTGGTCACTGTGACAACATGGCAAGCACTTCAGAAGCAAAAGTTTGATGCTGATTGCTAAAGGTAGTATTGTTATAAAAAGTAAATACTAAAACTTGAAAATTAAGAAACAATATAGTGAACACATGGAATATGCATTATCTTGGTACTTTAGGTGGTTGGATTGTTGCCATCATAGAAGTGATTGGAAATGTTCAGAGTAAACTAGAAAAGTTTCCACTTATTCAACCAATATAGTTCAATCTCTTTATTTTTCTCTCTAGTTTTCTGCAAATTCTTCACTAATAAAGCATCTTGGAAAGTTCATCAATAATTTGGTGATACTTCTTCATAACAAATCTAAATGAATATATGTTGCATAATTATAATTTCTTTTACACACAAAAAGTAAAACCAAAAGGCATAACAAATAAATGTAGACCACTCAGAGATACAGATCTGATGAGTTCTACAGGGTTGGCATTTCAAACTAATGGCAAATGCAATTAAAATGCCAATGGGCTTAATTACCAAGACAAAAAGTTTCGGGAGAAAAAAAAAAAGGATTAAAAAAAACTACCCGAAAAGGAACTTACAACCTACACACAAACACATTTGGTATCGACATCTATCCACCACATTCTCACTAATTAAACTCATTTCCTTCATTTACCATATGGACACTTGTTTTAGATAAAAAAGATTCCATCCTTGGCATTGTACCTTTGCATTGAAAACCCAAATACTATTACCCGTGGCGCGTCAGGTTCCTCCACTTGTCCTTCAAATCAACCTGAGTTAAACATTCTTCATTACCTCCAACCCGAGGGAGAGAAACTAAAACCAATGGGAATAAGCTAAAAAGGATACTTACTTCAGTTCTACCCTCAAATTCGTCACGGTACGCAGTTAGGATGACCTTCCAATTTCCTTTGCCATACCTTCAGGAAATAAAAACTTACATTAGCAACAAATATTTGGTGAAGTCCGTATTAATTTTTAGCTGGCATTGACGTTAAAGAAGAGAATCAAGCCAAACAAGGTACACAATGATAGAAAACACATTTAAATAGTTGCCACAAATCATCCAATAAAACAGGCTATCTATATCAGACAATAAATATACTCAAATGCCAATTTATAGGAATTTTCAATTAGATTATGTACTTTTCTACTCCGGTCCTCAAGGTGTCTTCCTCCGCAAGACTCCATTTTCGACCTTTCCTCCTTCTCTTTAAGTTTTTGACCTCATATCTGTCTAGAGGAGACATGTTTATCGGCTTTGGACTAGGTAACAGAAGCCTGCTTCCAGAAGCTGGGTCTTCTTGTGACCTATCAATTGAATCTTCCCACTGCAAACAAAATTAAATTACATTGAAATATTGCATTCAATAGAAACCAAAGCATGATAACTCTCATAACTTATCTTTCTTCACAATGGCAGACAAGAGATTAACACAGGACCAAGGAACTTCTTTAACATGCCGGGTTAGGAGAAAAAAAAAAAATCACATCATATAGAAAAGCACCTTTTCTTGTAAAGCCAAGGACCCTTGTCATGTAAATTCATCAACTTACTAGCTGTGGTACAAGAATAATTCAGCAAGCAATAATCTTTCTCAACTAAGTCTTTGTTGTCTGTTCCTAGAATGCACAACTTTTATTGGCTGGATAAATGGAGTGTAAGTGTTACATGGGTAGAGTCAAATATGACGTCACATTCCTCATGCGTGTACGTGCATATCTACATGTAAGTATAATATTGGTATGTAAAATGATGACTATTATTTCAGGGCACAAAACAACATAAAAGCCTTTCTGTTTCATGCGAGCATGAATTAGGTTGTTCTCAATGTGCACAAACCACAAATATTAATAAGCACCTCAGGACTGTAAATACAATTATCAATAAAATTGTACTGCTGACTCTGTTTGCAAGATACATTCAGGAAAACTAGAGACCTGGAAGAAAAAGAAGAAAATGCATGTGAGTGTTAGTTCTGTGCTGCAAAATTGGTTTGGTTAAACATCTTCTGTATATATAGAGTTATATAATATATGCATAATGCACCATAAAACTGGAACTTCATAATAGTTTATCTTCGGCTTCACTTATTTCAAATCATTTATATTTACTAGGTTCTCTTATCTATGCCAAATGAAATTTAAGCACCTTGTTGCTACTCATTTTCTTTGACAATAACTGATACAAGGGTAAGGCAACAAATGGAAAAGGAAAAATTGGATTACTGTTGACAGGACTGAAGTGTGATGAAAGTTGGTCTGGTTCACATGAGAAGTATTAAAGAAGAATCACATAAACATACACTCTATGCCAAAACAATTAAAGAATCAAAGACCTTCTATCTTCTACTGATTAAAATTACAGTATACACACACACACACAAAAATATATATATAAATATATACGAATAAAACTATAAGCAGATCACCTCGAAAGTATGTGCAGTACTGTTTCGCTCCATCAAACTCGGCTTAGGTCCATTGTTCACATTAGGGCTACTTCCTTGAACAACTCCAGCACCATCCACAATGAAAAGATTGGGCCGAAAACGATTATTTTCAATAGTAGGTTCATGATCTTTGTCCTTTCGTGAGTCATCAGAGATTTTTTCCGCAAACTGTAACGCATCGGGAAGGGGATCCTTCACAGCGGCGTGTAGCTCGGACGCACTCGACCCAAGGGCTTCCCGAACTCTATTAACTTCTGCACTTGATGGCATACTGTAATTTCTGTGGGAAGGCCCTGAACTATTTTCATCAGAATCAACAATTTTGGCTCCTCTTGAATTACGAGATACTGATCCTCTAGAACGTCGTAAACCAACAAGCTTGTCCCTAAGCTTAATTCTTTTCTTTTCTGTCCCTACCAGATAAACACCCAAAGTTGAAAATGAAACGAATTTCAATAAGCAAAGTAGAGAAAAAGAAACTCGCAACCCACCAATTCTAGTTTCATGAGGTGTCAAAAGACCACAATAGATCAAGATACCATCTACAGTAGCAAACATCTCCACTGTTTCACTTTAGATACCATCTACAGTAGCAAACATCTCCACTGTTTCACTTTCAAACCCACTGAACCATAAAATTTAATTAAAATTCCATCTTATAATCAAACACATCCATGTAGCTCATGAGCCATCCAACCCCCACATTGTAATCAGAAATCCACACACACACACACACACACCAAAAAAAAAAGAGAGAGAGATAAAAACTTACCGTTGCCTCCATTATTTATAGCACCGGCACAACTTGAAGGCGCCTCAATTTCTGCTACTACTCGACCACCATTCTCCAGGCCCAAAACCTCCTGAACTATGTCCCCATTCTTCATACCCTCGGCCACCATCTCTAGAAACGAGGGACCCATTTTCTCTCTCTCCTCCCTCAAATAAGCCTTAACCACCTCAACCGCCACAACTCCTGCATTCCTCCTCACAACACCTTCGCAGACGCTATCCTCCCAGACGGCAGCCTCCATCTCGTCCTTCCACGATGAGAGCTCGTCCGAACCCAATCCTCCTTTCTCCACCACCTTCTCCATTCTCCCAACTCTGCCCCTCCAAATCCTCTTCACGGCCTCGAAAAAACCAAACTTGCTGGGCTTATCCCCACCGTCCCTGTTTAACAGGAGCTTCACCGTGCATTCCACTGCCACAGCGCAATACGCGCGCTTCATGGCGTCTGAAACCACGTCGTTCCCTTTTCGGAACTCCAATTCCTCCAACTGTTCGAGCAAATCAAGGGTGCTCTCGGAAATTGAATTTTGCGACACCTCGAACTCCATTTTCCGAAGCAATAGGAGCTTTTTCAGGTCGGCGTCGTCGTTTGCGAGAGGGAGGGCGCGAAGCAGGGAACTCAGTGTCTGGTCGTCGAGCGGCTGCCGGAGAAGGAAGTCCAGAATCCAATTCGCGATGTCTGGGTCGATGTCCATGGACGGGAGTGTAGAGTATCGAAAACCCCTAATCTTGTAAAAGAAGAAAGGGGTAATCTTTGTTGTGGTGTGATGAATTTCTGATTTTGTCGCTAGGGATTTTGTTTGGAATTGGGAATTCAGAAATCAAGATCAAACTACAACACCATTTTCTACTCAAAACTCAATTTTTTTACCAAGAAAATAACCAATTTCTTCATTTAGTACATTTTCCAAATAACAAAATGGTCGTGCGAACGGTGCGATCTAATGAACAAAAATCGAATTCTTCTAGTATTTGAATATATTTTAATATTTTAACAAAAAGAATAATTGGTAAAAAAAATTGAGTACAACAATATAAAATATTATGACATAAATAGTAATAATACTTTATAGGAAAATAATGACATAATATTGGCTATTTATTAGTGTATTAATGAACAAAATTGTATTAAAATATGTAAGGGTAAAAATAAAAAGAATGAGGTGAATTATTTTGATCGAAAAAAAAAAAAGTTTTTTCCTTTTAAGTTTTATCCAATGCACCATAACTAAGAACAAGTTTGTTTACAAGAATTTTCAAAAAAATTCCTAACATTTTAACTTAACCATTTTTTTTAACTCAACACCACTATTATCAATATTATCAATATAATTAAATAATATCAATCAATCATTTAGACACACCACATCAACCTTAATTCACTATTCATCCACTCACATTAATTTAACTAACTATCACTTCAAATCATTTATCTCCTACTTTTACATCAAATCAGTTTTAATTATTTCATTTGAAATATTAGTTTAATATATTCACTAACACCTAACCATACCACTTTTTTTAAAATTAACCAAACCAAACCAAAAAATTCAAACAAAACAAAAAAATTTCATAAACAAACATGCTTGAATGAAATGACCATCTCATGGTTTCAGTTTGTTTATATTAGTTAATGTTTTAACTCGAATAATCGTTTAATAAATGAGTTCAACTCGAGTTCATTTAACTAACGAGTTAGAATCGAGTCAAGTCAAGTCGAGTTCTTATTAAGNCATAGCTCAATTCGTGAAGGTTCAAATTCAACCTATTAATATTGTTAAAAGAGTCAAGCTCGCTTAGTTAAAGAATCAAGTTTGACTTGACTTGAGGAGGTGTTTGTTTATAAATACTTTTAATTCATACTTAACCCATATTAAAAAATCTAAACTTAACTTTAACTCAACTCCATTATCCTCAATATTATCAATATAATTAAATAATATAAGTCAATCATTCTTACACATTACATCAATTTTAATTCACTATTCATCAACCAACATAATTTTAATTAATAATCACTCCATACTATCTCTCTTATATTTTAATCATATCAACTTTAATTATTTTATTTTAAATATTATTTTAATATAAACTCAAAATTCCACTAACACCTAACCATAACACGTTTTTCAAAATCAATCCTAATTAATTTAAAAAACTCGTTTTGAACAAATATATTTATATCCAACATGTCATGAGTTCGGGGACTTGGTCCTCAACTCGACTCGAGTATTAGAGGCTTAACTTCGGTTCGATTCGTTTGCACCTCTAGTTATATTTGTATATTTTAACATCAACTTTTAAAGTTTAAATATAACTAAAAAATTAAAATTTCATTTTCTATATATTTTTGTTTATTAGTTTTTTTCTTATATAAATTTGTTTCAAATTAATATTTGTTACGGAAATGAATGTTAAATTTATTTTCTTATACTCATTGATGAAATAAACTTGAATAATAGTTAAATATAAAAATACATATTAGAAAATTATACTAATTTGGTAAACATATATATTTGAATTAATTACATAAATTTTACAATTCTACCAAATTATAATTGATTGATTACATAGTTTTTATAATTCTCACGCTCATACCGCATGAAGGAATTGCTTTCAAGGTTCAAATTTAATCCAAGTTTATGTTGCTATGTTGGGTAGATTGTCAGGTTAATGGTAATCTCTTGCTTTTAAACACAACTTCTAGGATATTATGGTGAAATAAACGTTTTCTTTTGACGTTTATGGTGATTGTTGGATATTTTATCATGTTGTGGTACTCTTACTTTTATGATGGATTCATATGAAGTAGTTTTAATCTACTTTTAGAAATGCCGACAAATGTATATATGTCTACACTTTCAATTGGGCAAATATATGTATAAGGTATTAAGGTTGGATGCATTTTAAGTAATAATTTTTTAAGGTTGACAAAAAACAATCAATATTTCACAATTATAGATTAAACTCGGTCCGGCTGTGCGTGCACAGCCAAGTGCCCACTAGTAATAATAATAATCACGAGCCCATTCCCTTCTACTTCTCAATGGACCGGGCATTAATTATTCGTTTCACTGGATGATTGAAAACCATAAAATGTTAACTTGGAAAAATAATAATTTTTTTTTTTCATTTAGTAACATTCAATTGCTGTTAAATTTACCTAGCATTTTGG